GTCTGCTGAGGAGAATTGGATAACTGGGGGCTGCAGCGGGGGTGCAGAGCCACCTGTCTGGTCCCTGGGGCAGAGAGTGGGACTGGCTGTCTGCTCGTGTCCCCAGGTGCCAGGACACAGAGTGATAGGCCCAGGAAAGTAAGTCAACCGGATAGGAGTTCGTCCACAAAGTGCAGATTTTAAAATGCTTCCTGGGGGGTGGGAGTGGAGGTAGAGAGACGGGTAGAGTATAGATGTTTGTCTAAAAATGCGTTTAACTTTTTTTCTTTATGTTTGAAATTTTCAAAATAAAATACTGGGGGAGAAAAGTTTTCGGGGACCTGTTTCGGTATTTAGCTGAAATGTTAATGGCCCCGGCGGTGACTTTGGTCCTGGTGGCCGTCTCTGCAGAGTTGCTGCAGTGCTCTCACCTGCCCGGAGCCCTTGCCCGCCGCGCCCCGGGCAGCTTCCGTCCGGGGCCCCTGCCGCTGCGGCCTCGGCACTCGGTCCTGCTGCAGCTCGTGTCTGAGTGCTCCCGTGTGCCAGCCTCGTGCATAGAACGGGGTGCTCGCTTACTCCAGCTTCTTTCTCTGAGGTTAATGTGTTAAAGGCCATTTTTGTGTTTTGTGCTCAGAGCTCTGAACATGTCCGAGTTTGTGTGTGACCTGTCAGCGAGGCCTTATGTGTACGACCTCATTGCCGTGTCTAATCATTACGGAGCCATGGGGGTTGGCCACTGTAAGTACTGGCATCTGCTGCCTCGGATGTGTCGAAATGCCCTCGGCCAGTCTCACTGGCCTCTTCCCGTGTGCCAGGCCCTGCCCTAAGCGCTTTACACAGCGCCTCAGGCCCCCACTGTCAAGGCTTCAGGCTTGGTCCAGACTGCTGCTTCTCAGTTCTCTCTCTCTCTCTCTTCATATTCTTCCTTTTTTTTTTTAAGATCTTAGTTTTAAGGGGCGCCTGGGTGGTTCAGTTATTAAGCGTCTGCCTTCGGCTCAGGTCATGGTCCCAGGGTCCTGGGATTGAGCCCCACGTTGGACTCTCTGCTCCGCAGGAAGCCTGCTTCTCCCTCTCCCACTCACCCTGCTTGTGTTCCCTCTCTTGCTGTATCTCTGTCAAATAAATAAAGTCTTAAAAACAAAAAAAAAAAGATCTTAGTTTTAAGTAATCTCTACACCCAACATGGGGCTCGAACTCATGACCCCAAGATCAGGAGTCGCCTGCTCCACCAACTGAGGAGCCAGGTGCCCCAGGTCTTCATATTCTTGAATACAGTAGTCCCACCTCTGGGAATCTATCCTAAGGCAAGCACTTGACATTGGGAAAAAGCTTTATGCACAAAGGTTCACGTATTTGTAACAGTGAAAAATGAGTAGCTGCATCGGTGACCCAGCAGTTGGCACTGCTGTCCGTCTACATGACAGACGAGTGCACAACCATTGCCAAATAAAATGAATGGTAATGTGGGGAAATGCCCATGACATGTTCAAACTTGTGTCCTTGCAGAAGCTAGCATCACAACTATGTAAAGCAAAAAGCAAGGAAACGTTCTCTTTGCTCTACCTTATCTTCCAAAATGTCTGGAATGTGTAGGTTTTTGTTTTTGTTTTTTAAACGATTTATTTATTTATTTGAGAGAGAGCACGCGCGTGCATGCAGTGCAGAGGGGCAGAGGCAGAGGGGCAGTAGGGGCAGGCCCTCGGCACCTTTTCCTGTGTTCCTCACCCCGCAGTAGGCGCTCCGGTGAGGGATAAATGTCTGGCCCCAAGTCACGCAGCAGGTGGAGACTAGCAACCAGTTCTCCAGGAGAGTGTCATTTTGTAGAGTCTGGAGGGGACAGGAATTGCTCGTTGCTGCTGGGATTGCTGTTGTAACCACATCCTGCTGGGGAATAGTATAAAATCAAGACAGAAGTATTGGCTGTGGGGAATGCCTGGACCACTGTGAGGAATTGTTACCCAGCCACAGACTTTGACTCACAGTTTCAGAGAAAGATACATTTAAGGCGTCTTGTCCACATTCCAGCTCTGCAAACCCAAACTCCCAGTGTGTCCCTCACCGGGATTACCCCGGAGGCTCCAGAGGCAGGAAGAGGCAGTAGCCATCTACTGGACCAAGTGGGGTTTGATTTGACCTGTTCTTTTGAGAGGCATTTTTGCTTAAATCTTAAAGTATCAGCTTCTTTTATGTGTGCCTTGGCTCTGGATTATTGCTTATAGCTATCCTGAAGATTGATACTGGATTTCTCTGTTCTTTTGATGAGTGTCCCAAAATTACAGCTTATTTTTTTTTATTTTTTTCTAAAGATTTTATTTATTTATTTGAGAGAGAGAGAATTGAGAGAGAGAGAGCACGAGAGGGAAGAGGGTCAGAGGGAGAAGCAGACTCCCTGCTGAGCAGGGAGCCCGATG